CATCCAAATGAAGTCACAGTTCATGAGCCCCAAGTGATGTGTTTCCTTTTACTAGTTTTCCAGAAGGCAAGATTTATTCGAAGCAAAAGCGTTTTAAAAATATAGTAAGAAAGTTGCAATTGAAACTCTTTAACCACCTCACCCAACACATACAGCTTGCCGCCCAAACCCCAAATATGCCCCCTCCCACAAATGCACACATTATCAATGAGAAGAGTGGATATATATAGGAATTATGGGGGGGTGGCACACATTTAGAGATTATGTGTAGCCAGTAGACAAGCACGGAGAGGTGACTCATGATTTTAGCACTATAGCGCTACCAATATTTTCTAGTGATATTATTGCATTGGCTTCTTTCTGGTTTGCCCATTTCTGAGTTTTCCTGCTTTTCTGCATTTCTGCTTCTCTGTAGTAAGAGGAACAGCTCCACTTCTCCATGTTAAGCAGGTTATTTCTTTGGCCCTCCCCAGAAATATTAGGAAAACAATATTAGGAAAACAAAGGCCATATTAATAACAAATAACATAAAAAATCACATGATTATTTCAAAAGATGTAGGAAAAAAGCTGTAGACAAAATGCAATATCTATTCCTGTTAAAAACATTAGAAAGCATGGGTGTACATGGAGCTTTCCTTAAAATTGTAAGTATTTAAAATCAAAAGACAGCATTATCTGTAATGAAGATAAGCTAGAAACATTTCCAATAAGATCAGAATTAAGAAAAAATTTCCATTATCACCATTATTATTCAATATTGTACTAAAAATGCTGGTGACAGCAATTAAACAAACAAACATAAAAAGAAATCAAAGGAATAAGCAGAGGGAATGAGAAAACAAGACTATCGCTGTTTGCAGATGATATGAAGGTCTTCTTAGAGACCTCTAGAGAGTCAACTAAAAAACTAATGGAGACAATAATTTGAGCAAAGTTGCAGAATAGGAAACTAACCCACATAAATCTGTCAGTATTTCTGTATATTACCAGCAAAACCCAGCAGGCAGAGATAGTAAGAGAAATTCCATTTAAAATAACTCCAGGCTACAAAAAATACTCTACATAAAACACATAAAATACTGTCAAGATACATACAGAAACTATATAAATACAATTTATTTTTTTATAAATTTATTTGTTTATTTTTAGTTTTCAACATTCGTTTCCATAAGGTTTTGAGTTCCAAATTTTCTCCTCATCTCTCCTCTCCTCCCACCCCAAGACAGTGGGTACATTGATACAGGCTCAACATATACATTCATATTAAACCTATTTTCACATTAGTCATGTTGTAAAGAAGAATTAGAACCAGTGGGAGAAACCACGAGAAAGAAGAAACAAAACAAAACAAAACAAAACAAAAGACAGAAAGCAAATAATATGCTTCAATCTGCATCCAGACTCCATAGTTCTTTTTCTAGATGTGGACAGCATTTTCTATCATGAATCTTTCGGAATGGTCTTGATAAGTCTATCAAAGTTAGTCATCACATAATGTGGCTGTTACTGTGTACCATGTTCTCCTAGTTCTGCTCACTTCACTCAGCATCAGTTCATATAAATCTTTCCAGGTTTTTCTGAAGTCTGCCTGTTCATTCTTTCTTACAGCACAATAGTATCCCATCACATTCACATACCACAATTTGTTCAGTCATTCCCCAACTGATGAGCATCCCTTCAATTTCCAATTCTTTGCCACCACAAAAAGAGGTGCTATAAATATTTTTGTACATGTAGGTCTTTCCCCCATTTTTATGATCTCTTTGGGATACGGATCTTGAAGTACTATTGTTGGGTCAAGGGATATGCACAGTTTTATAGCCTTTTGGGCATAGTTCCAAATTGCTCTCCAGAATGGTTGGATCAGTTCACAACTCCACCAACAATGCATTAGTGTTCCAATTTTCCCACACCTTCTCCAGCTTTTATAATTTTCCTGTTTTGTCACGTTAGCCAATCTGATAGGTGGGATGTGGTATCTCAGAGTTGTTTTGATTTGCATTTCTCTAATCAATAGTGATTTAGAGCATTTTTTCATATGACTATAGATAGCTTTAATTTCTTCATCTGAAAATTGCCTGATGAACACAATTTGAGAACACCAACTTACACAAATAAAGATAGATCTGAATAGTTAGAGAAATATTAATTACTTATGGGAAAACAGAGCCAAGACAATATAAATTATAATACTTCCTAAATTAATTTTATCAGTGCCATATCAATCAAACCATCAAAGGACTATTTTATAGAGCTAGTAAAAAATAATAAAACTCATTGGTAAGAACAAAAAGTCAAGCAGGATTGAACTCATCAATTCTCACCTATAAGTCCAGCATTCTATCCATTGCGTCACCTGTCCTCCTCTAGACTGACATCTCCTTAAGGGGAAAAAGTGTTGAGCTGGGGTCCTCTCTCCACCCACTCTGATGCTTGGACACTTTAAGGCTTTAGCTTTCTTAAAAAAATGTAAGAAAACGGCAAGCAGGGTGGGAAGGCTTTAAACATTAAGCTACAAGACTAATGGTTGAGCCTGCTCATCTGTCCATGACGAAGACCTAGCACCTCAGCCAGACTCTTATTGGGTCACAATCTGGAAGCCCAGAAAAGCTCTAAAACTTCATTCCCAGTGAAATATTGTCTAGCAGTGACCAAAAGAGACTCTGGGGTCAGTTAAGTACTGCTGAGGAGGAGCCATGGAAAACCAGCAGGAAGCAATGTCCAGCCTAGACTGGATGTTTGGTAGAGATCACATGGTACTTGGCACCAACAGGGATCAAAGGCCTTCCAAGGATACATATCTGCCTAAGACAGATGAAGGGCAGCAAAATAATCTCACGAGAAGAAATTGGCTGGGCTCAGATTCTTAAAATTTAGCCACTGCTCAGATTCTTACAATCTAGCCAATAGCTCACTAACATTCAGACTCCTTAAGAGTCTGCCCAGTATGTTGGATCTTTAATAAACCTTGTTTTCGGCTGAAAAAAAGATGAAGAAGAAGAAGAAATTGGCTGCCCCAAGCACTGAGACATGAGTTGCCCCTCTATTCTTCTCCCTGGGTCTCAAATTCTTCCTACATATGTATCTCTGACCTGTATACTTACATTCTTATATTCCTTATCTCAGTCCTCTCTCTTCTCCACAGGTGGCGTGTGTGTGTGTGTGTGTGTATGTGTGTGTGTGTGTGTGTGATGTATTTGTAGGACTGTAAACTTTAGGCTTGTAGGGGAAATGTTTTATTTCTACTAATTAAATCCTTTTGCTTTGAATTAATTGTGTCCTCTGGCTGACTAGCAAGGTAAATGCATGGGTGGGGGCTCGGGAGCTATGGTTTTTAGTGGATTAGGAATCATAAACTATCTTGAACCTGGTGTAGCCTTGCCTGAGGAATCCACTTACAAGTTGAGGGTGCCTCCCCAGGTGCCACAATAGGCACCTATTCACAATAGGTGAAAGGGAGGTGAGAGATGGGAGGGTAGCTTGAGGAGGTTGAAGGGTTTTGAAAGTGGATTTTGGGGAGAACATAACAGATTCCATTTCTGTCCCATATTTGTTTTGTTTCTTTTTCTTTCCCTGTGATACTTCTTTGGCACATATGGTCTCCTTCAATACTTTCCTTCCACCAGACTACAAAAGAAAACTCAGAAGACTTCCACAGTTCTAGGAAGTCACCACTTCTCTCTGTCTTCTCTGATAAAGTACTTCCTATATACTAAGCAAGGCTTATCAAATGCTAAGTGGCATACTGGTAAAGAAGGTACTATTTCCTTTGATCTGGTATAAATGACTATGATAACAAGGACAAATTCTCTCTGTCCCAGTTTGAGCATCTTTTTTGTTTGTTTTAATAAAGACCTTTTCTTGCTTATATGCTGTGTCTGCTCTTACCAAAACTGCTTTGTAAGAAACACATCTCTTTTGCTACTCTCTCTGGGTCAGGTAGCTCAGGAGGAAAGAATATATACATACACAAACACATGTGTATAACATATCTACACATATATGTCATCTGTGGAATGATATGACATACATGTCCATCACCAACTGATGGAGTGTGTCACACTCTTGAGTGAATTAACTTGCATTTTCCCTATCTGTATCCTATGCTGCTTATTTGGGTGGTAGCTAGTAAGAACCCTGAAAATTCTTGCCTAGCTTTTTAAGGCTAGGAGAAATGTGAACATGTTGCACTTTGGGCCCATGAAAGGGGCCAGTAGAAAGGAAGAGATAGGTGATGAAAGCAGAAGTGACTGTGAATAGACAGAAGTCCCAGAATTGGATAAAGGGAATGGTATGGATGGTACAATAGGAGAACTTTGGTTGGGTAAAGATAATGGAGGATCAGTTTCATTCTCTGAGACAGGAAAGGTTTTGAGGTGTTTTGAGGGGCAGGGAAAATTAGGAAGCTCAGGCAACATCTAGTTCAGGGATGGGGAACCTGAAGCCTCCAGCTGCACCCTCACCCCTGATCTAGTCTCTCAACCCGCTGGGGTCTGGGTCAGGGAAAGAGAAGGAAGAGATCATATAGAAGGGATTCTGGGTACAAGAACATAGAAACCCAAGCTCCTGATGGGGGTAAGTGAGGAGTTGAAGAATCAGAACACTGATATTTTTGTAGGGAGTGTGTTGCATGCTGGGGGGCGGGGGGTGGGTGGGAGAGAAATTCCTTCCCCACTCATCTCCACTTCTCAACATTGTGATCTTTTTTCAAAGTGCAAGCTCAGGTACCACCTTTTCTGTGAAGGTTTCCCAGACCCACTAGGTGTTAACTGCTCCATTCTTTGTCCAAATATCTTTTATTGATTTGTTACTTGTATCCCTTGAGAGACTTGAAGATCCCCGTGGACAGAGATGTTTCGTTTTTGTCTTTGTAAATTCAGTGCATTAACCATGGTGTCCTACACTTAAGACACAGCCTCGACAAATGGCATTGACCTGATCTTCAGTTTGGCATTTATGCCCTTTCCACGCCTAATTAATATGAGCTACTCTCCTCAGATTCTACAGTGCTGCCCAACTGGACTTCTTACTGTGCCTTGTATCCGAAATTCCATTTTCCTCCTTCCACGCCTTTGTACCGGCTGTCCCACATGGCTGGTAGACTCCCCTTCCTCACCTCCACCTTTCAGAAACCCCAGCTTCCTTCACCGTTCAGATCAGGGACCACTTTGGCCTTTGCTGATGTGCCCCCGCCCCCACTCCATTACCTTGTATATATTTTGTAGAAAGCCATTAAGCATTTATTAAACTCCTACCAGAAGCCAGGCACTGTGCTAAACCCTCCGACCCACGCTCGCAGATTGCTTGTACTGACAGCGCTGTTATGTGGACGTGTCTGCGCCTCAGAATGGAAGCTGTTTGAGGAGAGGGTTTCACCTAAGTCTTTGACTGTCCATCCTCTAACAAAAGGCACTTACGAACTTTTGTTGATCGATTGATTAATTGAAGCTTGCGTCGCTCAGTGAGGCGGACTGAGAATCTGGGAGCGGGGGAGGGATGGGGACTAAATCTGCCACAGGCCCCACCCCTTCGCCTACTTCGGGTCCTGCCGCCAACGTGCCCGCGGAGGGATTCCAGTCTACTCCTTTCGTCCAGCCTGCAGGTGGAGACCAGCCAGAGAAGAGACGTATTTTCCAAGATGGATCAGTGGCGAGAGAGGGCGGAGTCCGGAGGGTGAGAGAAACCTGAGAAAAACAAAGACCTGGAGACTGAGTCAGAGATGAGGGTCAGAGATCCTCCGAAGCAGAATAACCGACAGACACCGAGGGGCTCTGAGAGGCAGGCTTGTAGGAGGTCTGGGTGTGGTATATAGAACTGAGACCTGGGTTGGGGTCCTGGGACCTGGGTTCCAGTCCTGTCCTGCCCTCAACTCTCTCAGGTACCTAAACTCAATCAGTAAATCAACACGCATTTATTAAGCACCTACTGTGTGCCAGGCACTGAGCCAGGTGCTGGGGATACTAATACGGTGAATGAAACAGTCCTGACTGACAAGAGGTTGGTCAGTTCCTTGTCTCTGGACTTCAGTTTTCCTGTTTGTAAGATGGGGGTGAGGAAAAGGGTGCCTGTTAAATTCCACGCTGTCTAAGGACCCCTCCAGCTCCGACATTCCACGCTCTATGTCTTAAGATTGTGGTTCTCCAGATCCATTCAAAGGATCTGAAAGGTGGAAGTGATTTCCATAATAATGCCAAGATGTCTTAATTTCTAATATGGTAAATATTGATAGATATAACCCACATAAACAAAAGCTCGTGTGTGTGTGTGTGTGTGTGTGTGTGTGTGTGTGTGTGTGTGTGTG